AGTGGAGCCACATTGCACAGAAAGTTTTAACTTTTCCCTCCTCAGCAAGTTTCAACACACACACCCCCCTATGCCACAGTTAGAATCACACCTCCAAAAAACTCAATGAGATGAACATCCACAGGCTCTCCAAATGTTATTGAACTCCACTGCTCATCAATCCCAGCCCAGTGAAGGCTGGTCCATTAAGGTTAAGGGGTTGCCATTCCACCAACCTCAGCCAGCCCCCACTTCCCTGCTTTCTTACAACCAATCCAGAAGGTCACATTTGATGCCAGTTTCCTCCTCCTCTTCTCCTCTTTCTTAGGCTCATTGTTGCCTTTGTAGAACTTAGCAGGGAGGAGGATGGAGGAAACTAGACTTTGTTGTCTCTGCCTGCAGTTGGCTGTGTCTCCACCCACTGCTGGGCTCCCCATCAGTCCCTATGTGCACCAACCACCACTGTCCAGCCTGCATGGCCAGTGGTCAGAGGTGATTGAAATTGCAGTTCTACAATGCCTGCAGCTCCACAGGTTCCCCAACCCGTCCTGTGAGTTCTGTGGGGAAGGAGGGGGAAGGAAGCACAGATGTAGAGCTAATAGCAGCCTTAGGGGGATTCAGATGGGGGGAGCAGAGAAAGCACAGGAAAAAGAGATTAAACCCTTCCTGGATCTTCAAAGCACCCTACAGCGCTACTAATCAGTACAACAATAACATGGGGAGATCCTAATCATCTCCTGCATCCTGCCTGTTTTCTGTGCATCAGGGATGGGAAGCCGATGGCCCCACAGATGTTGCTGGACTCCAGCTCCCATCAAGCTCCACTCAGCACAGCCCATGGTGAGGGATGAACTATCATTCTATCGCATTATCATTTTAAGATCGCTTCATCATTACAATAACAATGCAGTGAGACGCAAGAATATGTATATTAGTCAAAACAAATACATGTTTCTTAGGATATGTTTGCCTTGAAATGCTGGTGATTTGTTTAAAATAAAAATAAAAATTGTTGTGGAAATGTGCAGAAGTGAGTTTTAGAATGGAGACATGAGAAACGTGGAGAATGAAATTAGCAGATTTGTCCACCCTGAGCGGGAGCAGACTATTATTGACTTTTATTCCCAAGCAGGTTACAGGTGTGAGGACGCAGTTCCAAATGAAGACAGCAGTAAAGAGCAAAGGGTTAACCCACCTACCCCCACACACCCCAACAGTAGGGATCCAACAGCAGGGACCCAATCTAGATTGGGATGCTCTGCACCTATTTATTTTTTGAGCAATTTTTGCTAATTGAGCAAATGGTGGTGTTGTTCACTTTGATGGTACTTCCACCTTAAAATTTCCCCGCTTTGCAAAGATGAGCAGGACTTATATCTGTGAAATAAATTAAAGAATTTTTAAAAATTCATTTTGAAAAAGAACACTCTTTGCTGAGGAATCATGCAGTTTTAATGTCTAGCAAATCTCCTTACAGGAAACTGAATTTGGACCTGCTCTAGGATATAATCAACACTTGGTGAGAAAAGAGTAACTGGAAGTGACCGGCATCATTACCCGATTCTGATTCAAGTTCCTTGAAACAATTACAATGTTCTGACTCATGAGAACAAGGAGGTTTTTTTGTACACTGTTCAGTTAAGATGTGCCATTGCTCCATCTTAGCCCTTATATAGAAATTTCTTTTCCTCTCCAAGAGCCCCTTGTTTCAAGGCATTAGATTACTGACGTTATTTCTTTTTCTTAAAAAAAGACTCTATTAAGGTTCCATGTATGCACATGTAAAAAGAGTAGGCATTCTGCAGTAGATTTGGAGAGGGGGTGGCAAATCAACTCCTCTTCCCAGGGAACTCTGCGAATTGGAGATCTTCCCTGCTCTAAAGTAACCAACTACTGTGTACAAAAGCATAGTATAAAGAACAGCAGGTGAGCATCCAAGACGGTCATAAGGAAGCAAAATACACTGGATGAAAAGGGCAAGAATGGCTTGCCTTAAAATACAACGCACAAAAACCAAGTAGCACTCCATAAGTCTTAGCTTATGGCATAAGGTAAGTGAGAAAAATGATTTAAAAACCTTATCATCAATGGAATAGCAACTCAAAAAGAAAAATGATCTGCAGATGCAAAGCCAGGAGCCGTACATGTATAATTCAGTGATGTTGTGCTTTTGCACTGCATATTTATTTGCTTGGATTTTTAAAAAAGGTTTTCTAAAGTGTACCTTCTTTTGTTACATGGGGCGGTATCCCACTAAACAGTTCCACTAGCACAAGGTCTGTGCAATGGAACTTCACTGCTGTCTCGTTTTTCCACACAACCCCTAAATCCGTTCCCACACACACACACCTCCCAGAGCAGATTTAGGGGGGTACAGGGCATCCACAGGAAGAGGAGAGGGCAGGGGAGTCCCACTGCTTAGCTAAAACTATTTTTTCAGAGCGGTTTAGCTGCATACCACCCATGGTATCTACCCATGGGTAGAGTTTATTAAAATCAATAAGTAAAGGTAAAGGTACCCCTGACCAAAATCAGTAAGTATACAACATTAAAACAAACAAAATCAAAGCAAGGTAATAAATCTCAGAAATCACAAGGCTAAAACTATTCGACAAGAGAATAAAATAAATTTTAAAGGCTTGTGCAAACAGAAACATCTTTACCCAGCACCAAAAAGAGTGGCCACATTCACACCATTCATTTAAAGCATTATTATATCACTTCAGGCAGCCATAGCTTCCGCCAATGAATTATGGGAGCTGTAGCTTGTTGTGGGTACTGAGAGTTATTAGAAGACCCATATTCCTCTCACAGAGCTACAGTTCTCAGAGTGGTTTAATGGTCAATCTCACTTCACAGGGGACTGTGGGAATTGTAGCGCTGTGAGGGGAATAGGAGTCTCCTAACAACTCTCTTTGGTGCGACGTGCATGCAGCTCAGAACACAGACGTAGCCTGGATCAATAACTCAACCCTTGCTGTGTTGCATTCAGCAAAATAACTTCAGCTCATTATAAGACATTCAACATCCTTCCTGGATTCCTCCTCTCTCCTCCTGGAATCCCAGCCATGTACTTTCTTATGAGGAAACTTAATTGTAAACAGCCTCTGCCAAGAAGGCTTTGAAAAATGTTCCCTCATTAGTTGCTTAACCTTCCTGAATAATAGATGAAACAGATTTTTTTTAAAGTGCAATTCATCTTTAGGGCTCTGTGTCATAAAAATGTAAAATAATGTAAGCAGAGCTCAGTCATCATGAATGCAGTGAGAAAAAGCAGTCCCTTTATCCATTTTAAGCTGTAGTGAATAACAGAGGTGAGAGATTATCTAACTCAGGATTGTTATCAAAGTCGCCTATAAAGAGATGTGGTTCCTTTGGCTACATTTATTATAACAGAGCTGTGAAGCCTTCAAATTAAGCTCTTTTTTCCTTGTCTATCCCCAGCATTGCATAATTATTCTTGCATTATTTAAAGAAGACATCCCATTCCTGCTTAAATGTAGCACTGGAAGTCTGGGTTGGATTTCCTACTGGTTTTTAAAAGGTTAACAGCAGCTACCACCACTGAAGTGGGGAGTTCATCTGATCAGGACTGTCACACTCCTTAGTGGTTAGCTACTCTAAACTCTGGACTCTGGGCAGGGGGTGGTCTTTAGATCACATTTGCTTTACTGAAGGGCCACGATTCTTCATAGGAAACCTTCTGGGGGCCACATGCCTGTGGTGCATAGGGCCAGCCATAAACAAGAAAGTGGATGGTGCAATGGGCGTGACTCTTTCCTTTGTTATGGTGGGCTATATCAGAGGTAGCTCTGGCGACACAGAGCTTCTGGAGCACTCCAGCAGGCACAAACACTACCATGTGTAATGGGAAAGGCAAGGGGTGCCAGATTTGGGCATCACTTGGGGCGCCACAGAAATTTGGGACGCCAAGGTCTGCCACGAGCTACATTTCCTGCCCTTCCCCTCACAGAACTACAATTCCCAGAGTGGTTCAAGAACCAATCCCTCTTCCCAGGGAACTCTATACAGTGGTACCTCGGGTTAAGTACTTAATTCGTTCTGGAGGTCCGTTCTTAACCTGAAACTGTTCTTAACCTGAAGCACCACTTTAGCTAATGGGGCCTCCTGCTGCTGCCGCGCCACCGGAGCACGATTTCTGTTCTCATCCTGAAGCAAAGTTCTTAACCCAAGGTACTATTTCTGGGTTAGGGGAGTCTGTAACCTGAAGCATATGTAACCTGAAGCGTATGTAACCTGAGGTACCACTGTATAACATTACGCACCATGTGGAGAAAGCGAATGAGGAGAACCTATGTTCATTCTCTCTGAATACTGGAATTTGGGGGCGTACAATGAAGCTGAACTTTCGAAAATTCAGGCTAGTATTTATTCACACAGCACATACTGTAGTTAAGTCATGGAATTTGCTCCCAAAAGATGTGGCGACGGCCACCAACTTTGATGGCTCAAATAGAGGATTGGATAAATGAATGTAGGATAAGGCTGTCAATGGCTATGTTCCACCTCCATTGTCAGAGGTTGTGTGCCTCTAAATACCAGTTGCCAGGAATTACAAATGGGGAGAGGTCTGTTGCACTCAGGCCCTGCCTGTGGCCATCTGCTTGGCCATTGTAAGAACAGGATGCTGGACTAGATGGGCCTTTGGCCTGATCCAACAGGGCTCTTCTTATGTTGTTAAGGCAGCTCCCTTTGTTCCTCTCAGATTTCAAACCTTATACTCATGGCGCATCACTATAGAGAAATGCATTTTGGCTGCCGCATCTGCCGATGGACTGCAGTGTTTAAACTGACCCTTAGCTTGCCAAGGAAGATTGAGGAAAATGCAGGCCTCTCTTTCAGGGGTCTAATAAAAGTCGGGTGTTACCATTCTTACATTGTACTGATGTTAGATGATGACAACGATCCTGAAGTCTCTCCCCCACCCCTCTCCTGTGGCCGGTCCACTGTGCTGCCTCTTTTGCGACTAGCTGGCTGAAGGTAAGTTGAACCAGTAATGAGTCAAAAAAAGTTTTTATCTGGTTTCCTCCACTCCCTTCTCTCCTGGCATTAGTAAGGCTTGGAACAATAACAGGATGCAGGATGGGAAAAAGGCGGACACCCAGCTGGGAAACCTTGGAGACTGTAAAGCTGAACACTCCCTGTATTGCTTAATGCAGTGGAATAACGGATTTCACTTAGTTCTTTATATTCATTCTACTTTATCCAGTTGAGGCTTGGAGGCTGATTACGCATTCTCCCTGATTTGGAATAAAGCCCAGCCCAGGTAAGAAACTTGGTCTTTGGGGAGTGAGGAAAGAGAGAATTGTTCTTGGGATTTTTAAATCTGCTACTTAAAAGCAGCTTTGTCAAAGTTTGGTGGACTAAGGTTCCCTTTAAAACATTGTGGTGGAACTTTGGCCCTCCAGATGTTGCTGAAGTACAACTCTCATTGGACCCAACACGCATGGCCAATGGCCAAGGATGGGGAGAACTGTCGTTCGTCAACATCCAGAGGATCAAAGGTTCCCCACACCTGCTTTAAAGTGTCCAATAGTCCAGGATGTACTTTTACAACAAGCTAGCTTTCTTGATCCTGCCATTGTACACAAACTGCGTTGCTGGGGAGAACTACCTGGAGTTGCCATAACAATCTCAGATGGCAAAGTGGAGGATTTGTGTTTTTGAGAAAGGATGTTCAGGTCAGGTCACCAAGAACCCAAGCCGCTGCCGATAAAAGTTTAACAAGGAAATTGAGGGGTGGGAGAGAGAAAGACGTTCAGTTATCCAATGTGTACCTGGAGAGCCTTAATGCAAACGTTTCTGTTTGAGAGACAGGAAAGCTTTCCCCAAAGAATGCTAGGAGCCATAGTTTGCTAAGCATGCTGGGAATTGTTTTGTGAGGGGATTAGCTGTCTCCTCACAAACCTCAGCAGCCAGGGAACTGCAGGTGGTATAAGCATGCTTCAAATGTATCCTGTGTGTGTGGCCTTAGAACTACTATATGCCTTAAATTTTGTCATGTGGATCGGCACCATGTAGCTGATTTATGTTAAATGAAATAGCCTGAGTTAGACTGGGCCCATAATATAAAGAATGGGGGGTGGTGAGTGGACTGGGACCACAGCAGCAACAAACCACCCTTCCCTCATATCATGGTCCTGATCCAGCTCAGGAGAAACAATACCAGCTATTTATTTAACAAAAATCATCCACATAACACCAAACCATGTGTAGTATTCAATTAAGGTTTACTCAAAGTAAGCCTATTGTAATTGATGGGCCAAACCTAGTCATGTCTGTTCATTTCACTGGGTCTGCTATGAGTAAAACATATTTTTGTACCACTCTATGTAAAAAACATAATGTATACGTTGACATTTGTCTACTGTAAAAGTGTCAGATTTTCTTTCTAACAAATACTCTGCTAATATGTGAAAACACGGGCTGTAGCTTATTGCTGAACATATGTAGATGAATCAGAAATAAGACTTACAGAGTCAGATACATATGTGTATATATTGGCTGTTCTATCAAAAATTGATAAAAAGACCTTGAAAGCTTGCTTTGATATCTTACTGGTTTGGGACAATAAACTGAGGCACAAGCCAGACAAGATGGAATTGCTCTTAACAGATGTTTCATCTGCCCAAGTGAGTGCTGTTCAGCCTCTTCTGGTGCGGGCTGCACTCTCCCTAAAACAGGGGTGTTGAACTGAGTCTGGCTAGTAAACCAGACCTTGACCTCTCGCAAGCCTTGTTGGTCACTTTGAAAGGTGGGCAGGGTTGTCAAACTTGTCAGTCACTTGACATCACCACGATGCCAGGTGAAACTTTTTAAACTTGTTTTCATTTGAAATCAAGTCAAAAGGGCAAAGTCTCAGGGGGTTTCAGGTTCTGCCAAGCAGCTGATGCGTGACACCTGCAAGCCCTGCTTTAATCCATCAGGGAGTCATGTCTTTACCTGCCTCATATCTGACAAAATATATGATGTCAGGATAGGTAGGCATAGCTTGGGGAAAATGGTCTTTAGAAAGCTTACTTAGACTTGCAGGACAGAGGTGCCCAGCCACCACACTTAAGGTTCAGAAAGGATAGGGAAGAGATTTGGTTCAGACTTCCTGAAATATGAGAATGAAAAATACAGCTAGTCTTCAACATCAGTTCTTCTCCAGAATTTTGCAATGTAGTTTTCCTATCCCTAGAAAATATGTACAAAGATGCATATAATAGAAGAACACATATATATGTTATAATAATATTCAAAAATGCACTGTATTAGGGGAAATTGCACAAAAATGTGAATATTAGACAAAACAGCCTACAAAATATGTGTGTGTTAGGATGTTAGTATAATGCCTTATAGAGCTGTTGTAATGACAACTGAGAAAATGCATAAAAAATACTTAGAGCACTGCAAAGAGCTATGCAGTCTTTTCTCTATTGTTAAATACATATATTTTAAAAACTGATATATGTTTGGAGAAAAGGGTTCTGATTTGTTTTTAGTTCTCAGATGAGCAATTCACTTTGTCAGGTTTTGGGAAATGAGAACACACATCAGCCCGGAATAACTGGTTAGTTTCACGTATGCAAAGTCCCAAGCTGTTTTAGGCTTCAAACATTCATGTGAAGATTATAGCAAAAACTGTACAGATTCAAGTATGAAGCTTAATTTATGTAGGAGCAGGAAGATGCATGTATGCATTGAATAGGGTTGCCAGATGTTCAGACCCCAAGATGCAAAGAGGCAAAGAGCTTGTGAGCAAAGTGGTAGAACCTGGCAGATCAAAGGGGGCCCTTGTGGAATGGGGCAAAGTGGGGGTTCTGTGGGGGCAAATAACTGCATGTGGAAGGTCAAGGCAAGATCTTCACCATGCCCCATGTCATGAGGGTGGAGCCTGATGGGGTTGGAGGAAGAGGGAAAAGCAAATGGCAAACATTCTCAAACTTGGCAGAAAATAGCAGTCTTGACTCAGAACCTTCACCCTGAGATTTTACTCCATTCCCTGGAGAGCCCAAAGGTCAGACTACACACTCTGGTCCCTTCCAGATGACCTGTTTATTGACCCTCCACCCTGATTTGTTTGCAGAGAGATCATTGGCTACTTAATGAGCATTTGCGCTCATTTGTTTACCATTTGTTCACCATAGTGTCAGAGCAAGTGTTATCCCACACTTTCTGAGGCGTTTTCCTATAACTTTCCTTATGACAAAAAGTTTATGGGGGGGTTGTGGGGGCTGTTTCACAAGAGCTGCCAATCAGTTTTAATTGCACAATTTGAATTAGCTGGTACGTGATCAAAAGCCACCCCAAAGGAGTGATGGCATGGAAATGCCTTGTGTGTCAAGAAACTGAGACCTGGATTCAAATCCTCACGCAGCCATGAAGCTCCTGGGTGACCTTGAACTGGTCATCCTATCTCTCTCTCAGTCAGGTTTGTCCTGAGGATAAAGCGCAGAAGACCTTGTACACCACCTTGAGCTCTTTGGAGGAAAGTTGGGGTTCCATAAATAAAATAACAGAAGAGATCAAGGGGTAAACTTTCACTTAAACAGTTAACAGTTTGCAAAGAGCTTTGCCAAGCTGAATAGACTTGCCTCATATCCTGCTTTTGTTGAAGCAAAATGGAGTAATTGAAAACAGGATATATGTAAAGGGATTTGTATAGTCTTTTTAACCTTTGGAGGCATTTTTGATGGATTGCCTTTGCCAAGTTGAATTGTATGAACATCAGATACTATTTAAAGAGAAATCCCTCTCTTTCTTCTCTTCTCAAGAAAGCAGAAATCACATGGCTTCCTAGCATAGTGGTAATTGGCATTTGAGTGCCCTTCTTCAACAACAGAGGGAGGAGATGTTATTTGGGTGTTTGTTTGCATTTGTTAATTTATGCTAGATGGGGGGAAAGCAGAAGCAGGTTGACTTTCTTGCAGAACAACAAACTTGACTGCAAAGTGCAGGAAAATCTACAAACATTCCCCTTCCTTTTAGGGTACCCACATGTTCTACTTCAGTTGTCTATTTGAAAGAGTTGCCTGTTTGAATTGCTCAAAGTCCAGTCCAGCACCAGTTTAAAGAAGGGAGAGTAAGTTGCTAAGTTGCTCACCAACAATTAGCACCTGGATAGCAAACAGGGGTCACCTGACCACAGACTTCCACACTGTGGCAAGAGGTATTCATAAATGACTTGATGGGTGGGGCAGAGCTGCTATGGCAGCTTTCCAGCATGTGGGTGGCTTGTGCCTCCCAGGAGAAGGAGGGGTGAGGTGATGGGGAGTAGGGCGTTGTGCAAGCGCACCAGCAGGAGTGCCAGATTGCATTTTACACCATGCTGGCCTCTCCACCCACTCAGTAAGCAACAGTAACCCACCTGCTGGGAAGCTAACATAGAGGCTCTGCCTCATCTAGTGAGCAGCTTTTGGAGGCACTGTTTTGAATGACAGTAATTATTTTTTCCATTTCTAACTCTCCATATGCATTGGCATATGCAAATTGTATGTAGACCTGTATACTATTTTGTCCTCTTTTTTTGATGGTGCATAAGTAGCCATCCTTGAGTGATAGCGGTGATAGCGGTGGGGGGTAGGTTCTTAAAATGCAATCGATTTGGCTGGGTGTACATGAATAATGGGTGTGAACCACACACACACACACACACACACACACACATATTCCTTTTCAAGCTAGGCATAGTCTGAAAAAACATGAAATAGCTGAACCTAAGCAAGTTTGAATTTGGTTAGTACCTGGATGTACGACTGCTTGTTATGTGTCCTGAGTTTGCTGCCTTGAGTTCCCTAATGAACAAACTGCACAAACCATTGCAACCAAAACAGATAACCATGGTCAGATTTTGGAACAAGCATTCATGCTTTAGTAACCCCCAAAATGGACTTCTTCCATTCACTCTACATGAAGCAGTCCTCTCTAAGCATCCCAGAAACTTCACTTGGAATAAAATGCCACATCAGACTTCTCACTGGGTGGAGTATTTCACTCCAGTATCACTCAACCTGTCTTTGCTACATAAGCACATAAAGCATAAGAAAAGGGAGCATGTGGTCCTCCAGAAGTTGTTGGCCTGTGGTCAAGGATTAGGGGGATTGTAATCAAGCAATCTCCAGGGGACCACAGGTTCCCCACCCCGGAAAGAAGAACAGCCCTGCTGGATCAGACCCAGGCCTATCTAGTCCAGCATTCTGTTCTCACAGTAGTTCACCAGATGCATACAGGAAGATAACTTCTGAGAAGGAGTAGGAACCCCATCAAAGAAAAAAGGAGGGCGTATCCAGCATCCCCCCCCCCATTTTCTGACTTCTTCTATGCTTATCTGTACACAAACAGAGAAATGTGAAAGCCTCCTTATCATTTGCTGGCTAAAGGAAGTTCCACCAGTTACCCTGGTGCTCCACGGGAGATCATCAGTGCTCCTAAGAAACTATCTTATATTGAGTTGAAGCATCTAGCTCAGTATTGACTACCGGCAGTGCTCTCAAGGGAGCGCCCCCAACCCTGCTTAGAGATGCTGGGGATTGAATTTGGGGCCTTCTGCACCCGGAGCAAATGCTATACCACTGAAAATGAGATCTTCCCACTTTTTTCCTGTTGGGGTTGGGGGGAATCCTAGAGCTATGATCTCCTGCAATCTGACCTGCCCTCCTCATACACCACTGCCTGCTAGATTAGACCAGAGGCCTATCTAGTCCAGCATTCTGCTCTCATAACCACCAATGGGAAGCTGGCAAGCAGGACATAAGAACATCAGGAGAGCCCTGCTGGATGAATCTGCCAGTTTTGGTTCTCTTAGCTCTTAGTTCTCACATGAAAATTTTCCATCATTTTAGTGCATGATAAACTCATGCTGGTATGTAGATTTCACTAATATGCATGTTTCTACTAGCAGTTTCCCCTTAATTTCATGCATTTTGCACGTTATTATTTCTATTTCCCCTAATATATTCATTTTTGTACACGTCATTTGGCTCAAGAAACACACCACAAAATTCAGAGGGTGAATTTTGAAGGATCCCTGCATTTCAGTTCACATATTGTTTTGAAAAATGTGAATTTAGTTGTTGTTGTTGTTGTTTAGTCATTTAGTCGTGTCCGACTCTTCGTGACCCCATGGACCAGAGCGCGCCAGGCACTTCTGTCTTCAATTTAGTAGCTTCTCGCTAAAATTAGAACAAACCTGAATTCCCTGCCCGATCCCTACCCAAGCTACATTAATCCATTGTCTTTGTCTTGCCAGGGATAGAATAGCGTGACCTTTAGGTCTCCCATAGTATCCATTGAAATCACTGGAGTTTCCATTCTTCTGCCATCTGCAGGAAGCCAGCCATCTGGCCATCCTCTGCCCATTCCTCACTTCCCAGTCAGCTCACGGAAACCTTCTGACAGCACAGAGCTGGAACTGAACACGTCTGCAGAATCAGGGTCACGGTTTCTCATTCTTCAAATTTTAAACTCAGTTCTCCACAGTTCTCCAGCAATTTGAGAGTTATTGTTATTTTTTAATCCTCATGAAAACTCACCAGTAGTTTGGTGCGTATTTCTCCTAATAAACACATTTTTGTATGCAGTTTCCCTAGTGTACTCATCTTTGCAAGCAAATTCCTCTAATGTAATGCATTTTTTGTGTTATCTTCATGGATATCTTCATTTTTATGCATGCTTCCCCCTAATATATGCAGTTTCATAAACATTGGTTGGTTGGACAAGTGTATCACAAAATTCAGGTAAATGCAAATTTTGAAGGATGACTACATTTCAGTCCTTGTATTGTTTCAGAAAGTGTGGATATGATAAATTCACCTTTAAATGTGAACTGAACCCAATTTCTTCCCCATCCCTACTCCTGAAGAACCTTCGTGAACGGTGATATGTGGTTGTTACAGACTAACCACTCCCTTTCAAAAGATCGGTTTTGTATAACTATTTTACAAAGCCACTCCAGCTGTGAACTTTCTTCCTGGCACTCAGCACACTTTTTGCTGTGCTCAGAGCTCTTGGGTGCCAAAAAGAACTCAAAGTGGGTGGAGATGCAAAACAATGTGATCTCATGAACAGTAAGAGGCTTGCAAACTGTTGGCTGTTACCCTCTGCCACCTCTGTGCCAAACTGTAAATGTTGTATCTTTTTCTAGCTCGCTCTCAACAACATCATCCAGGCCAAGAAATCCTAATAAGCACAGGTTCTATTAAGGATCTGAATGTGAAAAGCGTTTCCTGCTGAAATAAGTAAAACTAAAAGCAACTGTGTGATCATAAAGTAATTAAAGCTATGAGGCCACTCATAGCTAGTTTACAACATAGTATAGGCATTTCCTTTGCTAGGTCATATTTATGTACTCATGAAGCAACATGGGTACAACAGGGCCACACATTTAGATCCATCCCTGAGATCATGCAACTCTTCCCAGTTTCAAACACATGGATAGGGTTGGGTGAATCTGGACCTCAAAAACACATTGAAGATTTAACATTAAAAAATACTTTCCCCTGTTCTATCTGTTAGCAAATCATTTAATTAACACAAAGTCCAGAGAGAAAATACCTGATATCATTTTACTGAGCAAAACTGAACAAAAATAGTAGAATTTGAGGAGGAAGGAACAGAGAGGTTTTGTCTTTCTTTCTTCAGGCCTTGCAGAGAAATTTAATTCAGTTCACATTATAAGCAGAATTTATCACATTTGCACTTTCCTAAATACTATGAAAAGTGAAACATAGCCTTCCATTGAAATTTGCACTTATTCAAACTTTGTAATGCAATTTTCCAACCAACCAGTGTTTACAAAAATGTATATATTAGGTAAAAGTAGGCATAAAAATGAGTATGTTGATGAAAATTACATACATTACATTTGGAAAACTTGCTTGCAAAAATGTGTACATTATTCAAAACTGCATACAAAATGTATTTATTAGGAGAAATTTGAACTAAAATGCTTAATAATTTTTATGAGGATATTTTAAAAGAAAATGTGTAAATTGCTGCAGAAATGCAGAGAACCAAATTTAAGGTTGGAAAAATGAGAAACCAGGAGAATCAAAACTGCCAATTCCTTCCATCTCAATTCCTTAGGTTCATGGTTCAATGAAAACATAAGAACCCTGTTTAATTAGGCCAAAGGCTCCTCTAGCTCAGTATCCTCTTCTTATAGTGGCCCACCAGAACTTTGATCAAGACAGTGTTCCATTTTCAAATTGTAAGCTCTGTTTTATTTGGGGTGCAGGGGCAGAGAGCTAACCAAAAGGAATCTAAGGTGCCTTGAACTTTTTTGACATGTTGTGATAATTGCAAAACTGCTTAGTGCAGCATTTTATGGAATGAACTAAGATGACCATTTCTGCTGTTGCTTCAAAGTCCAAAGGCACTAATACTCATCTGGTGGGTGTAATTCTCTAGCAGAAGCAACAGGATAAGGTATCGCCATTTCTCATTTTTAATGCCTTTATTTCCTATTTTGCCTGTTTTAAAACAGACCTTGCATGAATGTTGTATGCCTGTATCAGGAATGACCCTTTTTGGTCAAAGGTAGAAATAATTACCTCTAGTAATTTTTAAATAACTAAAGGTTCCTTTAATGCACACAGGGAACTAGATGATGTTTTCTTCGTAACTTTTGATGGTCCATAATTATGAGCTAATCAGACATGCCTGATGTGGAAGCTGGAGAGAAATAATGTGGCAGTAATAAGAACTCAGTAACTGGAGACTGAAATCAAAATAGTCACTGTTGTAACACTGGAAGGCGTGATACAGAATCTTCTTTCCAGGGTTGCCTCTAGACTTTCATTATTTTGCAATGGAGCTTAGCTTTGAGCACTTAAAGTGGAGTGTTCAGTCATCCTGGGGCAACAGTTCCACTTTTAAAAAAGGACTTTTGCAGTTAGGAAAGTGACAGAAATGTGCTGAACAGTGGGTGATGAACAATTGATTGTGCTACAGCCTGTATAGTGAATGTAGAGAGAGGCTGATTCTCCCTCTAATAAGAATTCTTCATGGAAGATCTCCTGAAGATCTCCTGTTTTGCTTATGGGATATTTCCTCTAAATCACTGAGAAGTTGCAATAAATAAATAAATTCTGACTTCAGTGAGGATCAGGAGAAATTTTCTGCTGGCTGCTTGAGAGAGAGGAAGAAGGAAAAATGGAGACTGTAAATGCATCTGCTTTTAATTGTTTTAACTAGTCATATGTTTCATTTGTGCATCTAATTTTATTGATCTGTGACTGCTGTAAACAATTCATTCAGTTAATGAGAAGACTGTAAGCACCATGCAGGCAAATCAGGATGACTGCTCATTGTCATATAACGTTGCAGCAAACAAATCATAATGAGCGCTCAATAAAGACCGGATATAGTACAACTTCTGTGTAAGCCTTGGGCAAGCAAATCAGGATGAATGCTTGATTAACAGAGTGCCTAATGAATCTCTGATAAAGGTTGGATATGTCACTCTCTGTGGTAAAGGACCACAGATCAAGGGCTTCTCAATAGTCCACTTCTTTACTTGAGATGTGGCTTCGTATTCTCACCACCGACCAAGGTGGAATGCTTCTAGAGAGATGCAAGTGTCTGTGTGTATTGTTTGGTTTCCTTGGAATGAGGGACAGCAAATACTGTGGTGTCTTTAGGATATATGGTTTATTTGCACATATTTACAGCCTGAGCATACAATGAAGGGGCTCACAGACCGGGTCCTCCCTTAAAAAGGGCACGTGTTGCGGTGAGACCTGGCAACCAAGCCCTGTGTTGTGGATGGGTTTGACTGAATAGCCACAACACCCAATTGGTACGTCCCTTGATGCTGGGTTTAATCAGGCCAATGGGATGCAAGCTAAACGGATCAAGGGACCTATATATACCTATGCATGTGACCCAGAGCTTCCTCTTTCAGTGCATGCATCAGAACACCCGTCCACCTCTCCCTATATTTAGGACTGTGCGCTTGACCTTGTTATGCCATCGTGTGTTGTCTGTTGTTGGGATAGGGGCACGGCAGGAATTTTCCCCACTTGGCTGGTTGGATGGTGCCATTTGGGTTTCGCCTGCCACGTAGCAAATCGTCACAACTTGTAAGGTTGTGGATAGGCTCTGGTTCAGGTGATAGGGATGGGGGAACGCTCTCGCCATCCCTATGTGAAGGGTATTCTGTTAAAGGAATCCAGGGACTCAGTGGTTTGGTCAACCCTTTGAGGGCGTTGTACCTGTGCCTGAGTCCAGGGGGCATTTGGGTGGTGGAGATAGCCTGTTCCCAGCCTTCCGCTTATCCAGGTGTTCACCCTAGGCTCACCTATGCTGGGTCAGCACTACCTGCAATGGTGCAGGGAGCTAGTCGAACCAGAGCCTATGCAACCACTCACTTGCTGTAATCAATAAAGTTGTGGCCTAAATTCTGCCAAAAAACCAAACCAAAATTTGAGTCCTGTCTGAATTTATTTAAGGGGAAGGTTTAAAGGTCTCAACATGCAACATTAACACCCCAAGAAGTTCTTGCTTCTCCCATAACCACAGCCTTGGATCCCAGAAGAAATCAGGCATGACTCTGTCTCTCAGCTGCCCAACCTGCTTTTAGCCTCTAGCTTGCACACACCTAAGCTGGGACTTTTGTCTTTCTAACTACAAGCCAGCTGGGGGAGTGAGGTACCCATTTCCCTTGTGTCATAGAGACACTTCCTTTGCCATCTTAATGGCACATACTTAGACCATTACCTCACCAGGAAGCTGGCCTGCCTATTTCAGCAATTGAATCCTTGTTGGATCCAAGAATTAGAAGGGACTCAGGCATATAGCCTAGCCACTCCCCACACAACACTAATACAATAAGGTAGTTGCTCAAGTTCATAGTAAAACACAATCAAGGCTAGTCATTGTACTAACTCTAGCTTCTGAACCGCCTTCAATGGCAACTTCTTGTAAAGCACATGATAAGAGTCAGTCCTTGAGATCACCTGATCATGAATGAAAGCACTACCAGATCTCTGGCATCGTGAATGGAGAAGGGGACCGAAGAAAGTTGCATGTATAAAAGCTGACAGAAGACTTTGGTTGGGGGAGAGGATACAGATGAGGTGCAGAAGTGTAGTAAGAGTTTCTTTGCTCCTTGGCATGGTGTTCCAGAAAATTCACTTAACACAGCAATTTCCTAGTCAGTTGATGGCCTTCTGGATACATACAGTATATCCCAAATGTCCTGTTATATGTTTATTCTGAACCCTCATACATGCCCAGGTTGCATAAGAACCCTAACATACCCTTTTTGATGCGAAACAGAGTGTTGTATGTGGAGACAAAGGTGCATTGTTCTAAAAGTGTGAGTGTTCCAACCCTTATACCCAAAAAAAGAACTTTCCACAGCAAGAACTAACAAAAGAATTATTACAAGGAAAAGAGAGTAGGCGTACTACAGAGACAGTAAACCATGTGAGATAAACATAGACATATACACCATAGCAGCATTTTACTGTAGCTACATTCCTAGCACTCCCGCTTAAAGATAAAAGACCTTAGGACCCTAAGAGGCATAAGCATAGAGAGAGAACATGACGTGTGTTATGGGACTCATGAAAAATAAGGATAGAGGCAAGATTATACCTTATCTAGGAGGCTCTGGACCAAAAGTCAGAATGAAGATTTCTATATCTGTGAGAATTAAGCTCTCACCTCTGAAACCATCACCTTGTCAGGCAATAGGAGGGGTGGCTAACACCCCAGAGGACAGGATCACACTTCAAAATGACCTTGACAGATTAGAGAACTGGCCAAAAACAAACAAGATGAATTTTAACAGGGAGAAATGTAAAGTATTGCACTTGGGCAAAAAAAAGGAGAGGCACAAATACAAGATGGGTGACACCTGGCTTGAGAGCAGTACATGTGAAAAGGATCTAGGAGTCTTGGTTGACCACAAACTGGACATGAGCCAACAGTGTGACGCGGCAGCTAAAAAAAGCCAATGCAATTCTGGGCTGCATCAATAGGAGTATAGCATCTAGATCAAGGGAAGTAATAGTGCCACTGTATTCTGCTCTGGTCAGACCTCACCTGGAGTACTGTGTCCAGTTCTGGGCACCACAGTTCAAGAAGGACACTGACAAACTGGAACGTGTCCAGAGGAGGGCAACCAAAATGGTCAAAGGCCTGGAAACGATGCCTTATGAGGAACGGCTAAGGGAGCTGGGCATGTTTAGCCTGGAGAAGAGGAGGTTAAGGGGTGATATGATAGCCATGTTCAAATATATAAAAGGATGTCACATAGAGGAGGGAGAAAGGTTGTTTTCTGCTGCTCCAGAGAAGCGGACACGGAGCAATGGATCCAAACTACAAGAAAGAAGATTCCACCTAAACATTAGGAAGAACTTTCTGACAGTAAGAGCTGTTCGACAGTGGAATTTGCTGCCAAGGAGTGTGGTGGAGTCTCCTTCTTTGGAGGTCTTTAAGCAGAGGCTTGACAACCATATGTCAGGAGTGCTCTGATGGTGTTTCCTGCTTGGCAGGGGGTTGGACTCGATGGCCCTTGTGGTCTTTTCCAACTCTATGATTCTATGATTCTAATAGAGATCTCGCCCTTTCCTTGGTCTGATCTCCAGCAGAGTGCTAAAACTCAGAGGGGTGTGAAGTGGGGTGGAAATTGTTAGAGCTTTAGGGTGCTGCCCTAACCTGTGCAAAACCTGTCCTTGAACATGATTTGGGGTCTCATATACTTGCATGTAAAATGGGAGGGAAAGTGCTGACTTGGAAAAGGGGACAGGAAAAGATTCCTTACAACTATAAAGTTTAATGATTGTTCCTCAAGATTATCATGGCGTCTATGGAGGTGAGCAGGGCAAATTCATACGTTCGGGCAAAACAAGCTTTATCTTACTATTTCTAAGTGTTATCAATTAAGCCTTAAATGGAATCGGTGTTTGTTTGAAATCCAACTTACAAATGCCTGAGGAAACTGATTAGCAGGTTTTCCTGGTGGCGAAATAGTTTATCAGTATATGCTTCCTTGCAATCAGTCAAAAAGCCTGATGTTTCATTCTACATCACAAGCAGGGTAAGGGGGTCACTGAGAGGTTGATACTTCAATATAACACAAGCAAGATTGATGCCCTGATCCATAAAAATGAACCAAAGAAAAGTCATATCAAGTGTCCCTAATTTCAGCCTAGTGAAAGTTAGAGACAGAAAGCAAGACAAAACACTATTTAAGACACACACACCCTTAGTTAAAATGCTTGGGAACTTCTGAAAATAAGAACCTTCCAACATTACAAAATGTATCCTTACATTAAAAAAAACCCCAAAAACTGAAAGGACTCTTTCAATGAAAAAAAACCCATCAAACTCCTTTGTAAATGCAAGCAGAAAATTGGTTTCTTCCGGTAATAGCATTCTATTTATGTTAGGAGTTGCAATAAAGCCCTTTGTCTATATAACATAAATGCATTGCTCATCCAGTCATAGATGCCTTGTGGTGAAGAAAAAAGCACATATATCTGAAAGTGTCTTTATTATCTCTTTTAGCTGAGTATCATGAGGCTTCACTTACTGAAGTAATATTCACTCATTATCCAAATCCTCTGTCAACATTAGATTGGTAGATGAGATTGTAACCATGCATAAATGGAAACTAATCAAGTGTGGTGCCTATCATATGTAGATTCAGGGCATGATCCACAACCTCATTCTGTGTCCTTTATAATACCAGCATACCTTTCCCAACCCTCACCCATACAAGACTATAGAATAGTCTTTGTTTTGCTCATCTCTGTATAGGGATGGAGGGGGAAATTCAATTCAGTTCACAAATAAAGGCAAACTTACCTTGTTCACACTTTCTAAAATAACACATACTCTAAAATACAGCCATATTTTGAAATTTGCATTTCTCCAAATTTTGGAATGCAGTTTCCAGCCAAATAATGTAAACAAAAATGCATATGCTATGGTAAAATGTGTATGGGATGCATATATTTGTGGGAAATAATATACAAAGATGCGTTATGTTCAGGGAAATAGCTCTGCAAAAAATTGTATATCAGGAAAAATTATAGACAAACGTGTTTATCAGGTGAAATTTGCACTAAAATACTGGTGAATTTTCATGAGGACATTTAAAAGGAAAAATTGCAAAATGATGTGGAAACATGAGGAACTGAACTTGAGAATAAGGCTATCAATTGTTACAAATCCTGATGGCCATGTTCTACTTCCACTGTCAAATCTCTGAATACCAGTTGCTGGAAACCACAGGAGGGGAGAGCAGTGTTAAGTTCATGTCCTGCTTGTGGGTTTCCCATAGGCATTGGGTTGGCCACCAAGAGAACAAGATTCTGGACTAGATGGGTCATTGGGCTGCTGTCAGTGTGGTTCATGATATGATGAGTCCTGCCCTGAATGAAACAGGTCTTTAATTTGATCCAGCAAGGACTCCCAGCTCAGTGGCAGAGCTCATGTGTTTTTTGTGTGTGTTTGTTTTTTTAAAAGTCTTAGGTTCAGTTGTTCTAATCTTCAGGCAGAGATGGGAAACTCTGAAACCTTGGAAGGTTGCTATCTGTCACTGTAGATGAGAGTGGGGAACCTGAGGCCTGAGGACAGCATGTGGCCCTCCAGGGTTCTCGGTGTGGCCCTTTGGATTCTCCCCAGGCCATAGCCCTCATTTGTCCTGCTCCATGCCCTCTGAGTATTTTTGCCTGGCTGGAAAGTGTCCATGGATTGTGATAACACATCTCTATTCAGGCAAGCAAGGGGGGGGGACTTTTGCATGACTGGAATGTACCCTACTGTACAAAGTTAGGAGTCCCATCCATTGCTTCGCCCACTTTTGCCCACCACTGGCATGTGCCGCCCCAGAAGGCTGCCTATGAGGAAATGCAGTCATTGGGCTGAGAAATGTTCCCCACCTCCACTGCAGCCAATAACAATGTAGGTGGACCAGTAGCCTGATTCAGGGCCCTTCCAGACTTTCTTTCTACTGCACATTCATGATTATTTTTACTAATGACATGATCCTGTTTTTAATACTATTTGCACCTGCAAACCTTTAGGGACGATCAGACTGATTCACTTCAAATCAGTGCATATCTGATAACTTTCTACTGAGATCCCGTAACTTTTTATACCACAGATATGGGGGGGGAGGGGGTTGCCCCACGTTTGTTATGCTACAACCCCTCCAGACAGCAATAATGCAATAGCATTGGGGAAGTGTTGCAGAACAAACTAGAGCAGGATAAATCCACCGCTGGTTCTCTACTGTGTCAATGACATGTTGCAGAATATACCCACTGCAACAGAACACCAATATGCAGGGGCCCAGAGTACAAGCCAGCTTCCTGTGTTCTCAAATTACCGGCAAGAAGGGATTTGCAAGTGGAAACATGCAAGTTCCAAACTTTTTGCTCATGATGCAAACGTTGTAATATTAGAGGAATCTTGTGGCTGGTTTGGAAAACCTCAAGAGAAATGGTATATTGGCTTCAGCAAGCAAACTGTTCCAGGGAAGAAGGGGCTGACAATCCAGTTCCCAAAAGTCAAGAAGAGACAAATGTATTTTATCTGGCGACACAAAGTCTGCTCAAAAAAGCACTTGGAGGAAGTGAAACCCTTTGCAAGTTTTCGGAGTGTAAAAAGAAAGAATGTGAATGAAATGGAAGGAAAGGGGCAGATGAGAAGTACTGTAGCCATCTTTTCAATGATGCAGGGAAGCTGCCGTTTTTGGGGTCAGATCATTGGTTCATCTAGTTCAGTACTGTCTACACAACCTGCTCATCTCCCCCTTGAGTTGAGCATGTCCTACACACAACTCAAAGCCACCAGTGCCCAGCATCAACTGCCTGAGGCAGACACCTCACTGTGCCTAATTATAGGACTGGCCCTGAGGTGGTGTTTCATAAATTATAATCAATAAATGTCACCTGGTATCATGCATGCTTGCAATGAGAATGCAGTGATGTGAGCTTAGATAGACCACCACTTCCACACCTGATAAAACAATGCAGCTGCAACCCCATCACACCCATGATTCATCAAAATCTGGGCAGGTTAAGGTAATCCCAAGAATAAAGGCTCCCATAGTATTTAGATGTATTGTGATATACCAGGGTCCTCCAGATATTGCTGACTACAGCTCTCTTCATTTCTTAGCACTGGTCATGCTAGCTGAGCCTGATGGCAGTTGGAGGCCCACAATAGCTCACCACCCACAAATTTCACGTCCCTTCAATTAACTGATTTCAGTGTGTCCTCACTCTGTTTATGGCCCTTCATGTTGAACCATCAGACTTTGGAGGCCCGTAAAACTCCAGGCTGGTTCAGACATTGCCAAGAGGTGCAGAAAGATGGCAGGTGAGAGACTTGTGCTTCGGTTTCTTCTCTTAATGTAATATATTTAGTTATTAGTTCAGTTAAATTGATTGTTTGTAGGCTGTTTTCCCAAAAAAGCTGCCTAAAATACCACACACCCTTTGCTATTTTACACTGCTGTTTATTTATATGCTGCCTTTTGACCAAAAAAAAGGCCACCAAGGCAGCTCAGAAAGAGTAAACAAATACATGCAAATACAATAATGCAAATGCAAAAGTGATACGATTCAAAGCAAAATCTTAACATTTCAAAAGTATTCAAAACCCAGCATATCTGTGTTCCTGCCAAAAAGAAATACTTAAGCAGCAGCTTTGCCTTATAAGGGTCAGTGAGAGCCAGTGTGGTGTAGTAGTTAAGAGCGGTAGTCTCGAAATCTGGGGAACCGGGTTCGCGTCTCCGCTCCTCCACATGCAGCTGCTGGGTGACCTTGGGCCAGTCACACTTCTCTGAAGTCTCTCAGCCCCACTCACCTCACAGAGTGTTTGTTGTGGGGGAAGAAGGGAAAGGAGATTGTTAGCCGCTTTGAGATTCCTTCGGGTAGTGATAAAGCGGGATATCAAATCCAAACTCTTCTTCTTCTTCCCAGGCAGGGGGAGTGGGGCAAGGCAGATAGAAAATCTGCTTGAAGGCTCTTTTGGAATTTTCTGCGGAATATGTGGTGATTGCCACCCAATGGATAGTTGTAAGGGATGGGTAGAAAAGTTCAAGGAGGAGGAGGCTATCATTGGCTACTAGTTTTGGTGGTGATATACTACAGTGGTACCTCAGGTTAAGAACTTAATTCGTTCTGGAGGTCCGTTCTTAACCTGAAACTGTTCTTAACCTGAAGTACCACTTTAGCTAATGGGGCCTCCCGCTGCCACCACACTGCTGCCACGTGATTTCTGTTCTCATCCTGAAGCAAAGTTCTTAACCTGAAGCACTATTTCTGGATTAACGGAGTCTGTAACCTGAAGTGTCTGTAACCTGAAGCATCCGTAACCTGTGGTACCACTGTACCACCAAACTTAGAGGTGGCATGCTACTGAATAGCAGCTGCTAGGGAGCAACAGTGTGAGAGGGCTATTGTCCTCATGCCCTGCTTCCCAGAGGCATCTGATTGGCCATTGTTGGAAGCTGGATGCTAGACAAGATAGGCCTTCAGGTGCATGGGGAGAGTTTCATTGGAAAGATCCCAACAACATCTGTAGTCATTGTTTGTATTGCTTTACAGGGCTTTCTTCCACAGATATGGCAAGATGCTGCCTTCTCCTTCTTTCTTTGACGCTGGTTCCCACTAGTGCTCATGGAGAAGATTTCACAAGGACTGCTGTTAACAGCAATATTAACAAGCGCATAAAGAGAGAGTGGATCTGGAATAAAATGCATATTATCGAAGAACACAATGGGACTCTACCACATCATGTTGGGAGGGTAAGAATATATTTGTTGAATTTCAGTCCTGCCCATCCTCCCAAATGAATGTAATTTTTACCCTGTTCTTTTACAATTAACGATTGATGAACCATCAATTCATAGTTCAGTTGTAAAGGATGTGCTTTATATGCAGAAAGGCATAAGTACAATTCCCGGAGTCTCCAGTTGAAAGAAACTATCAACGGCTACTAGCTAGGATGGCTATGTTCTGCTTCCACGGCCCAAGGCACTTGCTGTGAATACTGTTGCATGAAGGTCTTGCTTTTGGGTTGGCCTCTGCAAGAACAGGATACTGGATCAGATGGGTCATTGGCTCTTCTTATGTTCTTACAAGCAGGTAACTAGTGACGAGGAAGATCTCCGCCTATGAGTTGCAGAGTTGAGATAGATTGACAAATTGTCCAGCGTGGTATGAAGTAGCTTCCTATGTTTTTCCAAATTCCTTATCATTTCTATGGTCTGCCTGTGTGCCAGCCTCTCATCCAACCGGTGGCTGCTGTTGCTGAATGCCAGCTCAACTCTGAGAAGACCTCGCTCACTCATGATCTGATTATGGATGAGGAGGCCAATCTGGTCTGTATCACTGAAACCTGGGTGTTCCCCTGTGTATTCAGTGCAGTATCAGGGAGGGGGAGTTGCTGTGGTCTATAGAGATTCTCTCTCCCCCTTCAAACTTTCTGTCCAGTTGGGGAGGGGGAGAGATCTAGGTTGTGTGTTCCTGGCCCTGGGCAATTGGGACAGATTGGAGATTCTGCTGGTTTACTGCCTGCCTCACGGAAGTTCAGTCCACAGAAGGCTGAGGAACTGTTAGTGGGTGGTTCCCTACACGGGATGGCTGGGAGGTTGCCTACTCTTGATGGGGTTGTACTCCGTCTGAAAGAGTGGGTATGCAGCTTGGGGGTCCTTTTAGATCCATTGCTGTTGCTTGAGGCTCAGATGGCATTCGTGGCTTGGAGTGCCTTCCATCAGTTTCAGCTGGAGACACAGGAGCACCCCTATCTTGACAGGGATAGCCTAATGTCTGTCGTCTATGCTCTGGTAACCTCTAGGTTAGATCACTGTAACACATTATACATAGGGCTGCCTCTGGAGATGGTTTGGAAACTTCAGCTGGTGCAGAATTCAGTGGCCAGGCTTCTCATTAGGGCAAGACAGTTTGAGCATATAAAACCAATCCTGACCCGGCTGTATTGGCTGCCAATTAGTTTCTGGGCCCAATTCAAAGTGCTGGTTTTGACCTATAAAGTCTAAAATGGCTCAGGACCGCAATGCCTCAAGAATGTCCTCTCTCCATATGAACCAAGACTGAGATCATCCTCTGAAGCCCTTTCTCACGTGCCTCCTCAACGAGAGGTCTGGAAAGTGGCAACACATGAACAGGCCTTTTCTGTGGTGGCTTCCCACTTGTGGAATGGTCTCCCAAGGGAGGCTCACCTGGTACCTTCCTTATATATCTTTACGTGTAAGGCTAAAACATTCTTCTCCCAGGCCTATGGCTAATTAAACAATTTATGGCCTTTTAAACTGGGTGGGAAGGGATATTGCTTTTGTTTGTTACTATGTTGTGCATTTTTGTGTTTATATATTGGAAACAGCAAGTGATTTTCAGATGAAGGGCAGTATAGAAATTTAATAAATAAATAAAATAAATAGAAATAGAAATTATTCAGCAAACATTAAACAAGTAGTGCACACCACAGCAGTTCCAGGAAATTATTTTGCCCATGAATCTACATGAAAGTACCTAAAGCCATGAAAGCTGGCAATCTATCATTTTCTATGAAGCCCTAGTATTATAGCACTATGACTTTTCTGCAAAGCTTAGGTGCATTTGCGGGTCTGAGAGCTAACACAAGCATGTTGAGAAGGAATCAGATATATGCTGTTCCTTTCTTGGAAGACGAACGAGCGAACATACAAAGGAAGGAACTCTCTTTGGGGACAATACCAGGAAAAGAGAGGAAGCTTCGCCATGTCCTACAGAACAAGCTCACATTAGCAGACAGTACTTGTTGCAGTACTCACAGCCTGTCAGGCAAATGCACTGATCCAGAAAGGTCCCCTTCACTTCACTATGACAGCCTGACAGAACCCTGCTAACATCCAGGGAGATGAAAACATACAGCTGCCTCCATCAAGGACACCATCAAACTCAGCAATGAACACCATCTGAAAAGCTTTGCCTGAGTCACATGCAGTCAATCGAGGGGATTTCATAATGTACTGTTCCATTGACTATATTGTTGTATGCCACCCCTATCTCCAAGCGGGATGAGACTCTAAGGGTTCCAGGCAGCTTACCCAGGGTTTGTGTTTTCTTTTGGAAATAAGGCACAGCAAAGACTTTGGTGTCCTTATATAAATATGGTTTATTTACACATATATACAACCTGAGCAATGGGTTTTATAAGTCCCTGGCCATTGGCTAGGCTTCCTATGGCTTCTGGGAGTTGTAGTTCAGCAACATCTGGGGACTGTGTTCCTAGGATTCCTTACTGACTGTCCCAATTTTGTTCTGCTTTCACATTTTAATTCTTATTTACAGACTTTGTTGTACTTTTTAGATCACATCAACCATCAGGAATCCCAATGCTAAATACGTTCTTGAAGGGGAAGGTGCTGGGACTCTGTTTAGAGTCGAAGACAGCACTGGAGATGTGTCTGCAAATGAGAGGTTGGACCGAGAGAAGAAAGCTGAGTACCACTTGAAGGCTCACATTCTTGACCGTTTCACCAATAAGTCATTGGAACAACCCTCCGTGTTTCGTATCATAGTCTATGACATCAATGACAATGCCCCAGTTTTTGTACAAAAAGTGTTTAATGGTTCTGTCTTGGAAATGTCACCACTAGGTAAGCTCATCTCTCTCTTTTAAAAAATGCTACTGTGCTTGCATGCAAAAAAAGGGTACCTTAGGAGAAACTAGGCATGGGGAGTCACTTTCTGCCCAAGGGACAGATTCAAACCTAGCCAACCTAGGACCCTAGAAGTTGTTTCTCTGCCCAATAGCAGGCAAGGCGAGAAGTGAAAAGGGAGGGGCAGAAGTCAGCAGGTTGAAAGGACAACGAAACAAAAAGACCAGCAAAACATTTTTTTAAAAATGCAGATTTTTTATTACTTTTTTATTTTATTTTTATGTATTCTGCAAACATTTTACATATTCTTAAATTTAAGTCTCCTTTAAGGCTTAGTCTTTAAAGCATCTAAAATGAATGTAAGATACATAAAATGTTAATTTTAATCAGGGGAAAGCCACAGATAACGTGGAAAGTGACAGGACAAATGAAAATGATAGATGGGTAACATCAAATGATGTCACATGATTGGCAAGTGGGCAGAATTTGCTAGAAATGGGTTCAGAGGCCGGAGGTTTCCCACCACTAATATAAATGAAAAGAAGCATAGATCATCCAGTTGCAGTAAGAAAGCTAACTCTCCCTTAGTTTCTTACGCTGAATACTTGCAGAAACAGACCATGGCTCAGAGCCACTCTAGTCATGTGGAGCTAGCCGTGTGCAGTGATTTATGACCCTGGATGGAGGTTCAAGAGACATCTAGCCAGCTCAGCCAAGCCCAGATTAGCACTTAGATGCATAATGTTCTTTGAGAGCTTACACACACACACACACACACACACACACACACACAGAGTACCCACCCTAGAACCCTGGTCTGTAAGCAACCTCTCCCTTCTCTTAGTTAACCCTTTCCATCCTTGACTCGCCACTTGTATGGCTAGCCCCAGAATAGCTTCCTCTTTCACCAAGCCTTTTAAGCTGATATCTGTCCCAGTCTACATCTGCATTGGAATTGTTTTAAAGATATTTTTATTGTTTCATCACTTGTTTGTCACCCTGGGCTCCTTTGGGAGGCAGAGCAGGCTATACATTTATTTGATTGTTTAATTGAGCATTCTTATTATAACCAGTGTGGAATAGTGAACTAGAGTTCTGGACCAAGAGCCTGGGGGGGAAACTGTGTACACTTACATGGCCTTGAGTGCCTTGGAGCAAATGTAGGATAGAAATGTCCTAACAGCAGCAGCATTAAATAGGAGGGTTCAAAGTGGTGAAGAAGGAAAAGGTTTGTCTCAGGAGAGTCGATTTTTCACACCTCTTTAAGCAGATTCATCACAGTTCTTGTTGGCAGTTTTTTACATGAACAGAATCTAAACACTAATAATTAAGTATCATTTTTTGGTAACAATCTCTCTGTCTCCCCCCCCCCCCCACTTGCTCTCTCTCTCTCTCTAGGAACATCAGTCACCAAAGTGACAGCTGTAGATGCTGATGACCCCACAATTCTTGGCAATACTCGTGTTTCCTACAAAGTTATTCAGGGAAACCAATACTTCAAAATAGATGATACTGGTAGGTATGATATCAATAAATCAGCTGGTGAAAAGTAATCCTGCCAGACTCAACTCCTCCCAGTTCAGGAAAGCTAGTCCTGGGAAGTCTGAGATCTATAAGTAGAACAAAGCACTTTATTGCTCACGCTAACAGGCAAGCCTGAGTAGAAAACTTCTGTGAAGAAGGCAGGCCACACCACATCATCTGTCAAGTCAGCTTGTTGATCTGTCAACCTTTGAGAACTTTCAGACTCACTGTGAAATAATATGCTTCTGCATACCCACCTGCTGAGTCTTCCAAGCAAGCAGAAACCAATGCCTTTTTGACAGGAGTGCCAACTTGGCCCTGCAAACATGGGTGCCTGGGGCTGTGAGTGCCATGCAGTGTGCATGGCCCTGGCACTGAAATTGTGGGTGCCCAGCCCCTTCGTGGGGAATTTTGTGGGAGCTCAGGCACTCAGGGCCCCAGGGAGTTGGCACCAATGCTTTCTGATGGTCCCATTTAGCTTCCAAACCAATAGATATGAAACCACCAAAGTTTGGGATTAGAAGGATCTTTGAAAAGTTCAAAGGATTTCTCACCCCCTCATCTGCTGATGAGGAGCAAACAACGACAGCTGGCTTTTCTAGATTTGAAGCAGATAGGTAGGTAGACCACACCACACATAAAGTTTACCTTGGAAGGATGGAAAGGGAGAAGAGAGGACTGCTTTGGAGAAGACTGCTGGGCAACCAAAACTGGCAAGTAGTGATCTGAGGGAGGGAGTCAAAATTCTGTTAACTGTTTTTAAAATTAAAAATAAAGGCAAAATGAAAGGCAAGCAGTAGAAATTTAGGTTATACAGATTAATCTAATAGTAAAAAAAATAAATGTTGAGGTGATAGATGAGGCAGATGCTTGTTTAGCTTTCTTCTTTTCTTTTACAGGAACAATCTACACAGCTGTACCGGATTTGGACAGAGAAAAAACCCCTGTTTATACAATTGTGGTAGAAGCAGTGGATGGCCACGGTCTACACTCAGAAGAATCAGGCACTGCTACAGTCCGTATCTCACTGACTGATATCAACGACAACTTCCCAACATTTAGGAAAAGTTAGTTTTGTGAAATCAATGAATTAAATTTAATGAAGCCATCTGCTCCTAACTCAGTTGATGGAAATTGCATTCAGTTGAATGTAATGCAGTGTGGGTTCTAAATCTGACTAGATATTTAGAACATTTGTATATTCCATGACAGCATGTCAGACCACTGATGCATCCAGTACAGCATGTCTACACTGGCTGGCAGTGGCTGTCCAGCGTTTCCAAGCAGGGCCACTGCATACTGCTAGGCAGAGTAGACAGTATTAAGCTAGATGAATCAATGATCTGACTCCTTCTATGGGTGTTATGCAATTCTACTTTTACTCAGAGTAGATCCATTGAAGTTAATGGACACGCCTAACTTAAATTCATTAATTTCAGTGGGTCAGCTCTGAGTAGGACTAAGTTGGTTACAGCCCTGTGTTCCTTGAAGCTAACACAGCCTTCTGTCCATGCCACCAACTGACACACCATCCTTTCCCATTCATTCAGTGGAAAAAAAGAATGAATGGGTGGGTCTACAGCAAACAGTTAGATTTACACACAGAAGCTACAGTTTAGGGCCTCAAATTAGAACGGGTATCTAAATACAAAAATATTGAATTTCAAGTTTTACATAACTGGTTAAAAATAAACAGGCATATTGCAAATGGGGATGTAAGAAGGCTGCACTTTATGTTGTGATCTGTATTTGTCACAATCAGTGCTGTTTCAATTCTGCTGAAGTTTGGTTTCTGCCAAATATTCTGTTATTCATCACGTTGTCCATTATTTAACGTATGTTATACTCCAGGGGCACCCTGTTTCCAACAGCTGATCCCGATGCAGCCCCTTAGCCAAAAGGATACCCAGGCCTCAGAGCATGAAAACACTCAAGATGGCCACACATAAGGCCAATGCCACACAATTTAGTGATAAAAACTGAAACGAGCAAGATGATCCTTTTGTTAGCAAGAACATATGTTCTAATTTTCCTTTTATTCCAACGTACTTTTATTTGTTTGTTTTCCAGAAAACTTCCATTTTGAAGTCCCTGAAAATACCAGGTTAGACGGTGAAGTTGGTAGACTGGAAGTTGAAGACATTGATGAGCCACAGAACAGAAATACAAAGTACAGTTTTGTCCAAGGACCTTATCAAGATACCTTCAGAATAGAACCAAACCCGTTCACAAATGAAGGAATAATCAGACCTAAGAAGGTATGGTGATGATCAGTGTATCATTGTTTACATCGTGGGTGGGGAATCTTTGTGAGCCCAAGAACTACCTTCCCTTAATTTTCCAGAAGCACGTGCCCATGGTTGGTGGGGCCAGTACAAAAGATGGATGGGACAACCACTTTCTCACACACATCCATTCATACATCTAGACACGTCCAGTATACCCAAAGGAGTGTCTCCAACCCCATCGTTCAGCCCGGTCACTGAGGTCCAGCTCTGAGGGCCTTCTGGCAGTTCCCTCAATGCAAGAAGTGAGATTACAGGGAACCAGACAGAGGGCCTTCTTGGTAGTGGTGCCCACCCTGTGGAATGCCCTCCCATCAGATGTCAAGGAAATAAACAACTATCTGACTTTTAAAAGACGTCTGAAGGCAGCCCTGTTTAGGGAAGTTTTTAATGTCTGGTGTTTTATCTTTTTTAAAAATTATTATCATTAATTCTGTTGGAAGCCACCCAGAGTGGCTGGGCAAACCCAGTCAGATGGGCGGGGTATAAATAAATAACTATTATTATTATTATTATTATTATTATTATTATTATTACCCACTCTCACACAACAGGCTAATAATTGACTAAATAAATCTACAAAACTTCCAGAAGAGTTTGCAAGAGTTTCCATTAAATTCCAGGTTCATTCCAAAATGCACTTTGCAGACCAGAAATATAAATATAACTCTCTCCATAGGAGCAGGGCCACAGCTCAGTGGTAGAGCATCTGCCTTGCATGCAGACGCCTCGGGTTCAATATCCAACATCTCCAGGTAGCACTGGGAGAGACCTCAGTCTTAGACTCTGCAGAGCTGCTGCCAGTCAGTGTAGATAATAGTGACCTAGCTTCCTGTGTTCCTAAATATAAAAAATATGTTCATTGTATACACAGTGTCCCTTTTTATTGTGTACTGATAATGTTCGCGTGTGTGTTTTTAGCCACTGGACTTTGAGAAGGTATCCTCCTACAAGTTTGATGTTGAAGCAACTGATGCCGACATTAACTATGCATATTCCAGAACGAAAGGATCCAAGAGTATTGCAAGTGTAACAATCAAAGTTCTCGATGTTGATGAACCACCTGTCTTTTCCCAACCTTTCTATATATTTGAAGTTCAAGAAGAAAGTGACATCAAAAAGGTTATCGGATCTGTGTCGGCACATGACCCAGATAGAGCAAAACGGGAAATAAGGTAACAGAAAGTTTCTTCTGTACCCAAAAGGTGCTTAGTCAACTGAGTTTGCATTCCTTGCAACAACACTTTATCCACAATACAGCCCATGATAATGTGTTGAAGAACTGATTTTTTATACTGTATAATGCAGCGATGAAGAGCCTATGGCCCTCCAGATGTTGTTAAACCAGAGGCATAGCATGGGCAGGGCCAATGAGGCCATGGCTCCAGATGCACATTTCTGATGGGGAGCAACTAGGCGCCCCCATGACATGTGGCCGGGCCTTTGGGGCTGGGGCAGTGGCAGAGCCTCCTTCTCGTGGTCGCAAAGGGACTCTGGCGCATGCCCTGCCCCTGAGCTGGCCGTGAGGGATGGAGAGAGCACCATGCCTCATGTTCTCCTTCGCTGTCCAATGACTCATCCCCCAGCCCCAACTCTGTCTCTGCCTTGGCTCCTCCTCAGATACTACTTTGATACCATTTCTTTATGCACCCAACACAGATATCACATCCTGAGATCCAATTATTTCAAAATATCCACCAAGGGACATATTTTTGCCTTGAAGCCTTTGGACAGGGAAGAAAGTGCCTGGCATAACATAACTGTGGCAGCCAATGAACTGGAGCAAGACAGTAAGTATGAACTGGTGTCACTAGGGAATCTGACAAGAGTGAGGCCCCCAGCCATTCCCTCTTCTTTGCAGATTGCAATAAGCAGGCAAAATACAAGTCCTCCCTCTTTGAACCTTTTTGCTGTTGTATCCATGCCGTGAAAGCCATTCTTCAGTGGGGACCATCCCAAGGCCTTGTGCCAAGTGGATGGCACCGATCATGAGGGTCTTACTATCTGATTCACTCCCCCACTCCTCCAATCCTGTCAAGGATATGATTTTATGTTAAAAACACATATTTGCATGATAATACAGCATCACGGAATGCAGGGAGGGAGGGAGGAATTCAAATCAGTTCACATTTAAAGGTGTATCTAATTACCTAGTTCGCACTTTCCTAAACTATAGCTATACAGCCATCCTTCGAAATTCACAGTTGTTTGAAATTTGCAATGCGGGTTTCTCACCAAGACATGCTTATAAAAATGCATAGAGTAGAGTGAGCATAAAAAATGTGTGTATTGGTGACAATGCCATACAAAAACATGTTATATTAGGGGAAATTGCTTTGAAAAATACATACATTAGGGGAAACTGTATACAAAAATGTGCATATCAGGAGAAATTTGCACTAAAATACTGGTGAATTTTCATGAGAACATTATTGGAGGGGGGAATCACAAACTGATGTAGAAATGTGGAGAGCTGGACTTTAGACTGGAAAAATTAGAAACTGACAGAAACCAAAACTGATAGATTTGCCCGTCCCTACGTGGAATGAACCATCTGAAAAGCAGATTCCTCAGCTCTCTGCAAGTTGCATCCAATGGATATTAGAATTGGATACAACCCTATGTGAGCCAAAACCCTGCTTTTTAGGATTCCAGATCGCATGAAGATAGCCCTAAGCGAACAATTGTGCATTACACGTGGCAGTTCTCTGCAGACATTCTTACATGTCTCAGAGTTGAGGCCAGCCAACCAGGTTCCTCCACTCTGATTCACTCACCGCACTGATGTGGTGTGAATACTGGTTGCCTCTATTTGATTTCAGATGGATGCCTGATTGATAAATCTGTGATTTTCTTCTTGCTTCAGGAATTGTGCCCAATCTAGAATCCCACGTACCAGTTTACATTAAAGTTACTGATATAAATGACAATGCACCAGAATTTGCTGATGTTTACAATCCTAAAGTGTGTGAAAATGCCGCACCAGGAAAGGTAAAGTATCAGAATCAAACTGCTTTTACTACTCAGCTGCACAGACCAGCAATCCTTGCCAGCCTAGGAAGTTGGATGGGGAAGTTTCCAGATTGCTCCACATTTTGGATTGAATCTTCCCATTTTGCCCCCCTTAAACCTATGTGCAAATCAGAACAGTGATCTGCAGATATATTCTCAGAAAATATTTCCCAAAATTAAACCCCTTATTAAGGAAATGCCTTTGGGGTTCTTCAACTCCAAGAGTATCATTATTAAAAATGCAACTGCAAATAAAACAAGGAGGATTTGGTATTATATCACCAAGCTTATTTATTGACAAATACTAGAAACTTGAAACCCAAAATTAGTGATAACTTCCCAACCTGGGCAACCCTAGAATATAGATGTATCTTATGGACTGCACTAGGATCACAATATGTTAAAACCCTGGATTCTCCTGAAACAAGATTGTCAGCTAGAAAATATGGAACACAATGATTTTCCTATGAAACACACGATTTTCCTATGCTAAACTGACTTTGTGGGGAAATCCCACTTTAAAAATCAGGGTGGGGTGGGGAATGGTAATATGAAAGAACAGGATGGAGGCAAGCATATTGACTTTAGGCCAATTAATAGGTGAGAATGATGAATTTTATACTTGTGCTGTATTAAACTAAAAACACCACCTATTTGATTCAGCCCAGTGGCAATATTTGCAGCTGCACCATATGCTAACATCTTTATTTGGACCGGCAGCTTTTACAGCATCTAATACACCTAAGATAATAAAACAATTGGTTAAATCCTCTCAGACTAAAAAGCTGGTGAATGTTTTCCACAGATACCTGGTCTCAATTAATCAATTTGACATACAGCATCTGAGAAATGAATAGAATAAAGAATTGGAGGTTCCTATTTTACCTAAGCAGTGGGACAATAATTTAGCTTCTATAGTTAATGTTTTATACAACAAAAAATAACATTAAGAATCTATTGCCCTTAGTTTCAAAACTGTTTATTTCATATTGTATCACAATTTCAAGTAGTTTTATATTTTTCTTTAATATTTGCTTTTGTTTTGTTCCTTTTCTTTTACTTTATTTTCTCACTGAAAATTTTCGATAAAATATAACTAAGAAAAAACTGATCTGCAGATGAAGCCACATAATCAACAACTGTACTTATGAGGTGCTTCAAGGACTGGCTTTTTCTTCTTTTTAACCTTTTTAACCTGTTACACTGCTCCACAAAAGCCCGTGGCTGTGTGGTACAATATATTTTTCAAATTGCTCCCAGGGAGTGACTGTACCTCATAACATGAAGTCTCTTCCTGGGCAATTGTTTGAGGGAAAAGATGGCCCTGTGTATTCACGACAACCTTTTCAATTCCTGTAGACTGTTATCATGATTTCTGCTGTGGACAAGGATGAAATGTCACCAGGAGTGAAATTCAGGTTTTCCTTGGTGTCTGAAGAGAGCAACTTCACTCTAATTGACAATCACGGTACGTTTCTGTGGATTTCATGAGGTGGCAAAAAGGAAACATTGTGTGAATGTTAACTAGCCATGCTCCAAATACAGCTTCATGGTTTGCTTGTCCCTATTTATAAATTATTTAGGGCTGTCTATATATTGTATTGTATATATTGTATAATCATTTATAGAACATTTCTAAACGGCCAGCTCATTCAAAACTATCATGGTGATGTACAACACAAGCACTAAAACATCACAAAATTAAAAAATACAGAACAAATGACCAACACTGAATCAAACTGATGCTCTAAAACTGCTAATTTCCCAAAACAAACCACTCCTGTATAGAAGAAATCTTGATGACTCCTGGCCACCCAGACATTTTCTGGGTTCCTTAAAAGATTACTTTGCCTCAGGAGCCTCAGGAGCCTCAGGAGCAGACTGCTGGCATTCCTACAAGGCAATCACCATTTGAGATTATCACTTAATGAGACGCTATTGCCTTCCTCAGATAGCACAGCGAATGTCACCGTCAAATACGGACAGTTTAATCGGGAACTAGTCAAAACCCATTACTTGCCTATCATCATCTCTGACAACGGCTCACCCCAGCAGAGCAGCACAAACACCCTTGCCATCCATGTCTGCAAGTGCAACGAGGAAGGGGACTTCACTTTCTGCGAAGAGCCAGCAAAACAAATGGGAGTCAGCGTCCAAGCACTACTTGCCATCTTGGTCTGCATCCTCACCATCATTGGTAAATCTACTCAAAAATATTCACATTTCTGGCCTTCCCAGGGGAAATGGGGAAAGGGGGAAAGACCCCTTTTATTACATATAAGGAACATAAAGGGGTGGCAGAAAGGGATATGAAAATGGAGTAATTTTGCTCTTTAAGGTCATGCGGTAGCAACCATTTTTCAGAGATGGTTACTTCTCCCACCTTGCCAAACCTCAGGTTGAATCAGGTTACGTTTTCTATTCAGCCACATGCTTGTTTTGCTTCTCCATTCTGCAACTAATTTATGATTTGTTTGCAGTGATTATGGTGCTAATAGTTATGAGGAAGCGACACAGGAAAGACCTGAACATTCTCAGGAAGAACGTGACGGATATCCACGAGCAGCTGGTGGCCTACGATGAAGAAGGTGGTGGTGAAATGGACACCACCAGCTACGATGTGTCAGTCCTCAACTCAGTCCGCCAGACCAGCATGAGGTCACCCAGGATGACCATGGAGAACAGGCCTTGCGTGTACTCCCGTGTACAAAAGCCCCCAGGAAATGGGATCTCGGGCACTGGAGAAATGGGCATTATGATTGAGATGAAAAAAGACGAAGCTGACAACGACGGGGATTTGCTGCCATATGACACTCTCCACATATATGGTTATGAAGGGGCTGAGTCCATTGCAGAATCCTTAAGCTCTTTGGGATCAGGATCCTCAGACTCTGACATCGACTATGATTTTCTGAATGACTGGGGTCCCAGGTTTAAAATGCTGGCGGAGCTTTATGGGCTGGAACCCAGTGAAGATCTTCTGTATTGAGCGTTCTGTATTGACAGGTTCCCCCAGCCTTAGCCACAGACAATGTGGCTAAGAAAATGTTGGTTCAGAAGACGGAACCAACTAGCAATTCCTGCATTCCCAATACCTAAATCAGCTCAACATACTTTTTTCTGAGCAGGTTTACATGACCAGGATGATAGACAGCAAAAGCGATGACTTTTGAGCACTTCAGAAGGGACTCCATGAGCATACTAATGCATCCTGCACATGAGGGAGGACCCTGATTGGGCCACATAGAGTCCTTTCTGGTGCACTCTGACACATGTATGAACAGCAAGGGCAGGGCTAGATCCCAAGGCACACACACATTTCAAAGTGTGGCTCTTTCCCAGCCAAGCATTAATGATCCTTTCTTGCTTATTTTAGTTACTTAGAATATCTGCCCTTTTAAGTCAAAACCCACCCATGATTCTGGAAGGAACAATTTCTGGGACTTCAGGGAGTGCAAATTTCCTAGTCTCAAGTGTAGGTTTCATTTGATTGCAACTTCCATTATGCATGTATATACAGGCTAACTTTTTATTCATTTTTAAATGCTTTTTTTTTTTTTCAAACACAGCTGAAGAAATTCAGCTGCATCAGGGAACTTTTCCAAGTTACAAGCCTCATTAACTGTGAAACTATCTTAACACTTTTCTTCTTGCTGGTGCCCCCCACCCCTTCTTCCAGGTACTGTAAACATGGATATTTCAAGCATTTGATGCTTCCAAAACACCAATAGGAGATTCATCACTGATTTGACCTTTCCAAAACTAGCCTAGACCTTTTCCAGGTGCTGTGTTGCCTGTTATCCAGTGGAGGCTGGTGTCCATTGAGACTGGAAGAGCAGAAGATAAGGAGGCCAACAGTAGGGGGCACTAAAGCGAGTGATAGGAGGGGCCAACTAATTCTAGTTTTGTCCCTATTCTCCTCTCTGCTGAGTTAGACAATGGCAGCTCTGAGACTAAGGATGAGGAGGCTGACAGCCTGTGCTACCTCTTGGACCTGTGAGGAAGTAGGTAGGTGGGGACCAGCTGAGGACAGGCTGAACTTGGAGGGGACAGTGCCCCACTTGCCCCAGTGGACTAGTCTCCATTGCTGTTACCTCCTCCCCCAGTCTACATTACAACTGTGCCCTGATATCTACTGCTTCTTCATCCGCCGAGTTCCTCCCCCCCCCCGACCATCCCCATTCTTCTGTTTACCATGTTGTCTAATGAAGACTTCTTTTTGAAAAACTCCAAATCTTCCCACCTATTGTGTGATATTTTGGTTGCCCTGATACAGATTTTCTTGTTTTCTAATGGGCCAGCATGACTACCTTTACTTTTTCTGTGAGCAGGGTATACTCATTTTCACTAGCATGCAAAATCCAAACTATACATATAAGTATGGTTCTACTAAATAATGTATTGCTATTATTTGTTTAACAAAATATTCCTACTAATGAAAGTAGTTGGGTGTAATTAATGTATGTGATGTTTAACCAGTGAGGTTAACTATAAAATCATTTAAAGCTATTGTAAGGCAATTGTAAACGATATCCAGTTTTTAAAGTGTCCTATGATCCTTGTATTTTGTAATCTGTTTGTGTTAAAAGCTACTCTACTGTACATCAATGGTTTTTGCACTGGATAGTTTCATTTCCTATTTAAGTTGTATGTATGTATGTTGTGGATGGGGAGGGTTACTTACATAAAAGCCAAATTCATGTATACTTGCATTTGTCTGCTCATTAGTAAGATCTTCGGGCAAACCTATGGTGACTTTAGTGCATTTAAAAGCAGGGGAATCTACAAACCGGATGATAAAATCTGCTTATCAGATTGCTGAGGAACCACTTCTTCCCTTATGTTTGTATGTCACCCCCAAGGCATAAAAGGGCTATAAATGTACTGAGGAATGGGGTGTAGCTCAGTGGCACAGCACATCCTTTGCATGCAGAAATTCCCAAATTCAGTCCCTGGCATCTCCAAGCAGGACTGGGAAATATTCCTGACTGAAACCCTGAAGAGAAACCCAGCCAACCAGCATCCACTATACTGAGACAGGTGGATTAATAGTCTGGCTCAATATAAGGTGATATTGTTCCTGTGTTCCTAGAGCAGCACTCTCTCATTTGTTGGATTTGTCTTACTGTATGGCACACTTACCACAAAAAAGTGCCTATCTCAGGGGTAAGCTCATTGAACTCAGGGGGGATTTTCTTCAAAATAAAATAAACACTCCGTAGCCTAGGGAGTAAAACATGGCCTAGTTAGCAAACATTGTTCTTGACGACTTAAAAGATGCTTTGCGTAATAATTGCTAACATCCAGCATATTTGTCAAACAAAGTAGCAGAGAACAGCTGCTGAATTATGTTTCACCCCTGGGCACCTTTCGAAATAAGCACTTGTGCTGGCCTATTTATGCCTTCCAAGGTGTCAATGAAAATCCCCTTCAAAGAACTGTGGCACACCTGAGAAGGAGCTTGTGGTTGCACTTGGTGAAGGCATCACATAAGCAAGGTGCTTGGAGCAATGTTCATGTGACCTATGTAAAAGGATACGGGATGGTGTGCAGTGTTGCAAACCCATCACAACCTCCAAATATTCATCAAAAGGTTGGGTTGGAGCCTGTGCAGATACAGCTGTATACCTTCTGGGTCTCTCATGGAGGTTCAAGACCTTGTGTTTTGTAAGGGTACGATTTGCATTGATGGAATCTGCTAATGCACATTTCTTCCTGCATAGGCTCTGTTCTAACCTACCAATGAACACATTGTGATATATTGGTCACAAGTGAGACCTGATGGCATGGTCTTGTTTCCGATAACCATACATTTGCATTTATGTAAATAGGGTTTGGGCTTCTTCACTCACTCACCCTTGCCCTGAGACATGCAGATTACAACCCCAGAAACAGGATCGTCTTGCATGCCCTTCAAGGAAGGCTCAGTACAGGAAGCCTCATTCATCTTTCAAACCAGCACTCCTGCTGAAAGCAGTTGGAGTCATTTACCTTTTCCATACTCCCTTTCACACACCTGACCCAGCTGAAGAGTGTGAGGGAGGCAGTCCAGTGAGACTGTCCCCTCCTTTCCATTTCTACATGTTATATCATTTCTCTGAGTACTTTAAAATTGTAAACCGCCCTGGGTGCAATGATGGAAAGGTAGTATATAAATGAAATATATAATAGCTAACTGGCCAGAATATTTTAACAGTTCAGCAAAAGAACAGAACGGGCCAAAAACCTCATCCAGTTCTCCCAGTGGCCATTCAGATGCCTACAAGAAGCCCACAAGCAGGACCCGAGTACAACAGCACTCTCCCCACTTGTGAATCCTAGCCACTGGTATTTGGAGACATATAGTGGGACCTCAGGTTAAGAACTTAATTCGTTCCAGAGGTTCGTTCTTAACCTGAAACTGTTCTTAACCTGAGGTACCACTTTAGCTAATGGGGCCTCCCTCTGCCGCCACGCCGCCGCCATGCGATTTCTGTTCTCATCCTGAAGCAAGGTTCTTAACTCAAGGAACTATTTCTGGGCTAGCGGAGTGTGTAACCTGAAGCGTCTATAACCTGAAGTGTCTGTAACCCAGGGTACCACTGTATTGCCTCTTTCACTGCAGGTAGACCATAGCCATTGTGGCATGGCTAGCGGGGATTGTTCTCTTCAGATGGTCAGTATCAAAGTGAACGCTCAGTCCCATTAAGGAAACATAAACCCACAATCCTGTTGTCATTAACATGATGGGCCATTGGCTCCCTTCAGGTCTTTGATAGTGGAATTAATTAAGCACACAAGAGTGGGGGGCTGCAGGGATGAACATGCTAGCTCCGTTAACTTGTGTATACTGTGGATCCAAAAATGGCTGTTGGCAGGGAAGAAGCACATCCACCTTACCCTTGTGGTATCCTTGCTGGGGGTGATGAGATTCTCTCCCCTAAGCAAGTTAACAGAGGGATTGCTCTCTCCAGTAACTTGCACAAGAACAAGAAAGACAGCTTGCATCCCAGAAAGATCAGGGAGGGGTGACTCATCACTCCTAGCAAGGACCCTGCTGCTTCCTTCCTGCCCCATCAGGCTCATTGTCTACCTACCAGCCGACACTGTTGCTGCTCCACTTCAGTGCCTGCCCATTGCCTCTCCAGGTTTCTTTTGTGTAAACAAATACAGTGGTACCTCGGGTTACAGACGCTTCAGGTTACAGACTCCGCTAACCCAGAAATAGTACCTCGGGTTAAGAACTTTGCTTCAGGATGAGAACAGAAATTGTGCTCCGGTGGCGCGGCAGCAGCAGGAGGCCCCATTAGCTAAAGTGGTGCTTCAGGTTAAGAACAGTTTCAGGTTAAGAACGGATCTCAGGAATGAATTAAGTACTTAAGCCGAGGTACCACTGTACATTGGGAAATCATGGATCTTGTTTGTAACATAAGTAATTTGGCCCTCAAACAGCCATGTAACTGAGTCTTCAGTGAAATCAGCTATATCTATATTTAGTTGTGGCAAGTACACAAATGAGCAGCAGGTGGCACTCAGCTCCAGCAATGCCATAATTAAGACAACACACTTCTGCAGTTCTGTTCCCTGCCATTGCTTTTTGCATAGACTGAATACACTGCCATCAGGATTGGATGCTTTCATGCATAGCCCTGCGCTGCCTCTAAAACGTGGTCTCTGCATGCAGCAGAATGAAGTGGGGATGCAGTGGTAGACTTGAGGTGACAGAATGGCAGGTATCACTTCAGAAAATAGGGCAGAGGTCAAATTTGCTCCTCTAAGTTCTTGCTTTCTTGCTCATTTTAAAAAACAGAACTCCCTGCAAACGGAAAACTAGCAGAACAGGGAACAAGACTGGGCTAGACTCGTTCTTCCTAATCTCCTAGTTTTGAACAGGAAGGTTTTTATTTTTCTTTATGAGGAAGAAGATTTAAAAATGTCCCTACCCAAATTTTGTCTGACATGGTACAATCCAGTCTGCCACCTCAGACAATGTGTAGACTTGCCCTGGGCACTGGGAAGAGCTGTTCGCAGGGTTGGCATTAGCTATGTACTCACCAAGGCCCATATGCTAATAGGAGGCAATCCTAGGTCATTAACACAATGGGCCATTAGCAACTCAGTACTATTGGCACTGCTCATTCCCTTGCCTAATTCTGGGCCTAATCACAACAATTTCTAGAGTGTGCCGTGGTTACTATTCTTTTTCTCTTTCCTCTCATTTGCTCATCGGGCAAGTGCAGGTGAATAGGCAACAACAGCAAGAAGGAGGAGGAACATCTAAGCCAGTAGCCACCTCTAGCTGGTTCACAGCAATGAATTCTGGGGCAGTTCCAGGTTGTCTGACAATTCCCCCCACCTCTGCCAATGGGCCCTGGCAAGCTTACCGGGCTGCAGTGGCAGCACTCTGAGCAGTGCCAAGCACCTGGCTCTTACCACATTTTAGTTTCCCACAACGACTCAAGAGAGAAGCTAGGATGGGGGTATTCGGGAAAATTTAAGAAGTGTCTAGATCATGGGTAGGCAAACCAAAGCCCAGGGGCTGGATCTGGCCCAATCGTCTTCTAAATCCAGCCCACGGACGGTCCAGGAATCAGTGTGTTTTTACATTAATAGAATGTGTGCTTTTATTTAAAATGCATCTCTGGGTTATTTGTGGGGCATAGGAATTCGTTCATTTTTTTATTTTTTTTTCAAAATACAGTCCAGTCCCCCACAAGGTCTGTCTGAGGGACAGTGGACCGGCCCCTGCTGAAAAAGTTTGCTGACCCCTGGTCTAGTTCCAGGTGCTTGATACGCCAGAAAAGCAAAGTTAAGGGTAGCCCATAGCAGGTTTCATCAGCAAGCCCGCGGGGCCAGGGCATTGGATTTGTGTATTTTTTTATATTTGCTGCTGTTTTGCTATGTTACTATGACATTTTTTGATAGTGTTTGTTTGAAATGTGTTCCTGCTTTCTTTGATGTAAACTGCTTTGAGCATGAATATTTTGTGGAAAAGTGGCAAACCAATAAAAGGACTGAATGAATGAATGGTACTGCAAAAGAGATAAAAAGGATTAGAAACTTCTAAGGGCATTGTCAAATCATAATAAAGGCAATCCAATAGGTCCTTCAAACTGAAAAACAGCTATATGTGAGCTTCCTAACAAACCTTTGTTTGCAGATGATGCTGTTGAATTTTCAAGAGCTCTCTTGGTCTCTATAAAGGAATCTTGACCCTCTATGGGAAAACACCAAAATAAAAGTCTACGTCACTGCTTTTTTTCTGCAGATACTCAAGGGTACGCAGTACCGTCACCTTTTTTTTCTAGAAGAAAAGCACTTCTTTAAAGTGTGGCACTTACTGTAACAACTTCATGGTGAGTACTGACACCTTTTTTTCCTATAAGGAAAGCCCTGGGCTGCGTAAAGTCTCCATGCCCCTCTGCAAATGCCTTTTCTTTCTTTCCCAGACTGCAAAAATGCCTCCCATTTCTCTTTATATGGCAATCCTTATCAGCAGGTCTTCATACAACACTTTCCCTCTGACACATGTGCCCGTTGCCACTGGTAGCGCCATACATTTTGTGTGATAAACTGGCAGACATATAACTTCACATTTTTTTTCTCCAAGGTGCCATTGGGTGCATTTTCTGCTTGCTGATACCCTTCAGAGCACAGTGACACATCTGTGGGAAGACGACTTGTTCCAAATGTTGCTGTATTTTTAAAAACAGGAGGCAAGCCCAAA